CAAACCCCATTGTTGTGGTTACCTTATATTTCATTAATTCTTCCCTCTATTTAAGACAGTCTATTTTATCCTGTAATTTACCTGACCTTCCCACCACCTGGATCTCTGTTCCTCTGTGTTTACCTTCTTTCACATTGTAATTGTTTTGATCACAGACTGACTTCCCAAATCCTCTGTTCTTATAATTTTGTTCTGTTCTTGACACTTCATTTGTTGATTGAGTTCAGGGTGATATTGCCACGTATGTCATTCTCTAGTTGTTGTCTGTTCTTGTTGGTTCTTAGTCCACAGAACTTCCTTTAGGAAGTTTTTCATAGCAGGGTTGGCTATGGCAAAATCCCTTAGCTTCTGTTTATACTGGAATGTTTTGAGTACACCATCGTGTTTGATTGACAGCTTTGCTGGGTGGCAGTTTTTTTTCTTTCAGGGTTTTATATTTGTCTCCCCATTGCCTTCTTGCCTTCATGTTCTATTGAGAGATCAAAGCTTAATCTAATTTGCTTGCCTTTGTATGTTACACTTCTCTTTTCCCTGGCTGCTTTCAGGATTCTGTCCTTATCTTTGATTTTGGAGAGCTTGATTATTATATGTCTTGGTGATTTTCGTTTAGGTTCTGTCCTTCCTGGGGTTCATTGAGCTTCTTGAATGCTTATCTTTTCGCTTTTTGGGATAGGATGTTAGGGAAATTTTCTTCCAGAAGCTCTTCGACTATCTCTTCTCTGGACTTGTGTGATTCTTCCTGTTCCAGAATGCCAATAATTCTTAAATTATTTCTCTTCATGTCGTCCAACATGAATCTTAGACCTTCTTCAGATTTCTTTATCCTTTTTTGTGTTTGTTCTTCTTAGTAGTGTTGAGAGATTTATCTTCTAGCTCACTAGTTCTGGCTTCTAGCACTTCAATTCTACTCCTTTGCCCTTTCAGTGTATTGTCCATCTCTGATATTCTGTTATTAAACACTTGGACCTCTTTCTGTAGATTCTGAATTTTTTTCCAGTGCTGTATCCATTTTATTTGATTGTTCCTATTAGTGCTTTCCTGACTTCTTCCTTATTTGTTCAACTCCATTATATAGTGTTTTGATACATTTTATAATCATTTTTCTGAATTCCTTCTCAGGCATTTCCAAAGCCTGCCCATCTTCCAGAATGGAGTGTAAGTCTACTTTCAGCTCATTTGCCGCAGTCACTTTATCTAATTTCTGAACATGTGCTGATACGGTCATCTACTTCTGTTTTGTGGGGCATATTCAGGAGTTATCTGTGGCCGTAATACTTAGATGGTGTGTATTTTGGTATTTTTTGTGCTTTCTGATTGTCTCCAGGTAGATGTGATCAGGAGATGGGCCTTCCTTTTCACTCTTCTTCCTGAGAAATTTCAAGATGCTGCTGTTGGTCATTGTAACGTAACTCAGGATTTAATTTTTAGCATATTTCCTTTTTAGTCTGCCTGTCCTGCTCCACAATCCCCGTTCAGGCCTTTTTCCTAGTGATAAACAGTCCAGGGCTAGCTGTGGTCCTTTGGTTTTAAGTGGAAACTATCACTTTAAATTTCAAGGAGATCTGTGTGCATGCGTAGTAGAACCCTCCAGGGGTGGGGGTGGGGTGTCCACTCGCTCAGGCACCCCCTCTAGTTACCAGGTTGGAGGTGTGCAGACAACAATAGACCATTGAATAAGTACCAAGAAAAAAGAAAGGATGGCTACACCTTTATCTCCGTGGTTTTATCAAGCATCTTCAGCTGCTCTGATCATTGGTCTCACCCAAGAAGGCGGCTCTGGGAGCAGCTGAGCGTCTTGAATTAGAAAGTAATGGGCTTCTTGCTTCTGTTACAAATTCCCCTAACTGTAAGCCTTCCAGCCTTCTAAATATTCCTTTATATGTGGTTTGGAGTTCTGGCACCATCCTCTGAGCCTGCTTGATCCAGTATTCTGTGTTGTTGCTGACGGAGCTCCTTATGGCACTTCCACCCAATCAGCCATCCTTTTTGTTCTCCCCAGAGATGTTTTATGAATAAAAAAGCAGCAAGAAAAACAAAACAAGAATTGCAAATGGTTTGGCTGTTACAAGATCAAGCAAGTTGTTCACCTTGAAGCCATTAAAGCAGGAAAAGTTAGCCTATCAGGGTAAACCCTCTTCCAAAACTGAAACTCAAAAGGAACATACAAGCAGGCATATAAGCTTGCTGGTGATCGCCCTGGTCTACTTGTGAGTGGACGTGGAGGAAATGCAACAACAAAAACTGTTTATTTTAGCCATGTTCCATAGACACTGTCAATCTTGAGATGAGAGAAGAGGAAAGACTGGCTGGTTTTGTGAAGTCTTGAACCCATGGATGTTGACCTAACCAGCGTAGGCTAGAATTAAGAGTGAAGGGGTCACCTGGTCTGAAGTGTGCTCCCAAACTTATAAATACCCATTTGTCCTAGCTTGGATGGCTTGCTGATCAGAAGCTGACCAGAGGAAGATAAATAAGTTTGATACAGGAGACAAACATAAATTGCTATGATCTGGAGCTATACCCATGGATATAGCTGCTCAAAATTCCAACTGAAAGGCAAGGATTCTTTATATCAAGGATCAAGCCTGTCCCGTTAGGACACAGGGATGATAGATATGGGCAACTTAGACATTGGCTACCAAAAATAGGGGTCTATAAAGGTACAAAGTGACTTCCTTACAAGCTTTCAAGAAGAATGTGCTTAGTAAATAAAAGGGAGAAATTTAAGAACAAAACAGAAACAACCTTAGAAAAACCAGAGAGAGAAAAGATAAAAAGAGCGAATTTGTTGTTGTTAAGTGCTGTTGAGTCAGTTCTGTCTCCTAGCAACCGTGTATAGGGTTTCTGAGGAGCATCTGGTGAGCTTGAACTACTGACCTTGCAGTCCAGTGCATTAACCTGTGGCGTCACACCAGGACTCCAAAGAAAGATCAAAAGATGATAACAAAAGAGGGGAAATGAGAAACAGTAGAAATGAAGGAAAAACAAAAGAGATGTAATGGACAGATTTCAAGGGAATGGAGAGAGGAGGAAAAAAACAAAAACAAAAACAATGAATCAACAAAAGGAAATTACCAAATCCTTGTTTGAGGATTTGGTATTTTCCTCTTGTTTCATTGAACAGTTCAGCTGTTGGACCTGGTGAGGAGAAAACACAAGGGGCTTCTACAAGCCTTGTAGTCAGTGAGATGGGTGTGGGAGGGATAAGACAGCAGAGTTCCTGGCCTTAGATGGAGTTTCTATCAGCCTAGGTATTATCTGCGTTCAAGGCACTCACTCCTAGAAGAAAACTTTTCTTAATATGAAAAATGAGAAGATAGTCATTCAGGAAATTAAATGAAAATCAAACAGGATATACCCCAAAAGAAATTCACCAAGATATTCTGTAATCAAACTTTTTAAAACCAAAGACAAGGAAAAAATCTTGAGAGTAGCCAGAGGTCAGTGTCTGTAATGACCAAAGGACAGCTTGGGGCAAGGTGACTTGTTAAATGCTGTTCTTGTGGCTTTGTGAATTCTGTAGGTGTAGAGCTGACTCCCACTGAATCTAGGTGCCAGACAGGGACACCAAAGCGGTGAAGCCAACCGCTGCCTCACAGTGGCGTGGCTCCCAACCACATGACTCAGAACTTTTGGTGAGCATATTTACCTTTGGGTGAGTGAGTCTGGGAGTTCTCCACACCTCTGGTCACCAGGGGAGGAAGGGGTAAATATGGAAATGCACCTTTCACTTTGCCTTTGTGAATCTGTTCTGCCAGGTCTTCTTCTATTGGTGAAGCAGCTCACAAGACAGTTCACCAGTCAGTTACCGTCTTTCACCATCCCAGGGAGAACTCAGCACACTTCACTAACCCTTCCTCTAAAGTTCAGGGTTCCAGAATTTTCATGTGTCTTTTCATTTGATCTATCGTACCTTTGTTGTACATGTTCCATAGGTCCCTGTAGTGTGTCTGTGTAGTCCACCTTTATGCCAGAAGTCCTGTTGATACCTTTTTTCATTTCTTGTGCTTTCTTAAAGTTGTCAAAAACATTCTAATTTCTTATAGAAATTCTGAAGTCGAAATTGGTCATAATATTTTCCAATGTTCTTTCTAAAAAGATTTCATAAGACACTATTATCTCAAGATCCCATCATTATTGTAACCCAGGCTGACTTTTCACTTTGCTTTTTTCAGGCCCGGAAGTTAAAATTTTGTCTTTTAAAGGGATTAGGTCCCCCTGCCCCTTATTTTAATGCAAAGTCTTAGTAAACAAATTAAGTATTGTTGGGTGAAATAAGAATAAAGATTTACTAATTTACAATAAGAAATAAGGTAAATTGTCATAGAAGATAATCATACATTGGAAGCCAACTTGCTGTAATATAAATAGAAAGCAAGGGCTTAGGTGAATTAAATGTTTACTAGTTTTAGTAAATAAGGAAGATCATAGAAGAATTGATGCTTTTGAGTTATGGTGTTGGAGGAGAATATTGAAAGTGTCATGGGCTGCCAAAAGAACCAACAGATCTATGTTGGAAGAAGTGCAGCCAGAGTGCTCCTTGGAGGCCAGGATGGCCAAACTTCATCTCTCATACTTTGGACTCAAGCGTGGCAACAATTGTGAGGTTGGCCCAGGACTGTGCAGTGTTTTGTTCTGTTTGTCCATAGGGTCAGTATTGACTTGATGGCACCTAACAACAACAACAACTAATTAATTTATATTGGAAAAAGGTTGCATCTTTGCATGTATTTATTGAGTATTCAGTATTTGGTTTTCCAAAGCAGGCTTAAAATGTTGAATTGACACTTTGGTTTTCTCTTCTTTAGCTATAACTAGATTGCATGAGGTAAAGCTTAACTTTCAGTAAATATTTTAAGTATCATTTTTTAAAAAGTTCGCAATATGAAGGAATTAGAATTTGTATTAAACATTATAAAATTTTATTATAACATTGTAAGACATACTTTATTATTATTTTATATCTAGTACATCTATAAGGATGCCTTAGAATAAGAACCATGGAGAAGTATGTTAGACTACAAAAGATTGGAGAAGGTTCTTTTGGAAAAGCGGTTCTTGTTAAATCTAAAGAAGATGGCAAACAATATGTTATCAAGGAAATTAACATTTCAAGAGTAAGTTTTCATTCCTTTTTTTAGTATACTTTTCCTCTTTTTGTTTATTTTTTTTCTTTCATCATCATACTGAGATGGTTTGATTCATATTTTTAATCTGGTTATGCAAGTAATAGTCTGGTTATAGCAAGGCTCATTGTTTATATAATAAAGAATACATAGCAATGTGTAACCTAAAGTGCAAGATCACTATAATTCTAGAGAGAGCTATGAATTTCAGATTAGCTTATGTATTCTTTCAGATATTTTCTAGGATAATGCTTTTACAAAATACGTATGCTTGTGTTTACAAAATGCAGTGCTTATTATTTTATAATTTAATCTAGTTTGGACATTTGAAAATGTTTATACTTGTACATTCAATTTATTTTTTACTTTTTAAATATATTTTTTTGTTTTGGATTATGCTTGTTGGTATTGGTTACTTAACCATTTTAATGGGCTTTTAAGTTATGTGTTGATTGTTTAATAACTTTTTCTTCCCCCTCTCCCATTGAAGATGTCCAGTAAAGAAAGGGAAGAATCAAGGAGAGAAGTTGAAGTGTTGGCAAACATGAAGCATCCAAATATTGTCCAGTATAGAGAATCATTTGAAGGTCAGATAAATTTTTCAAGAGAGTCCAAAAGATATCTTAATCCGTTAAGCCATATAATATGAATATATTCTCAGGAAGAAAAGAATATTTTGCTTCAGTATGATATGCTATGAGTAACGTAGTGGTTACGAATTGAGCTGCTAACCTCAGGGTCAGCAGTTTGAAGAGAAAGATGAGGCTTTCTACTCCTGTAAAGATATATAGCCTCGGAAACCCTGTACAGGTCTCTATGAGTAGGAACTGACTTCATGGCACATAAGAACAACAACAACATAGGTTCCTAATCTATGGCACATTAGAAACTATATATCAGAAGGTGTTAATGAACTGTAAGAAGACAAAACCACTAAACAAGGGACAAGAAAATGTGTACTGTTGAAAATAGGAAGGAGATAAAGGCTATGAGTGCAGGTAGTAAAAGAAGTGAGAACTGGGAAAACTGGCCTTTTAGTTGCAGTAGTCCCACTACTAAGTAGTGAGTCAGTAGATGTTATATGTGATGTCAACTGCTTTTCTTAAGAGGATGAAGAAAGAAGTGTTCTCATCCTATTATACCCCAGGGAAGAGGTGTGGAAGTTCTTTTCTCTGTGGACTGAAAGATAAAGGTGAATAGGAGAGTGTCACAACTCATATTTGTTCACAGATTTTGTACAGGTATAGAAAGGGAAAAAAGAAACCTCTACGAGACTGTATTGAATCCAGAGTTTATCATAGCACCTACTACTGCGCTTGCATAAAAAATAATTGTTGTTGTTAAGTGCCATTGAGTCTGGCCCAACTCATAGCAACCCTGTGTAGGGTTTCTGAGGATTCACTGGTACATTTGAATCGCTGTTCAGCTGAATATGCAGTTCAGTGTGTATCCTACAGTGCCACACCAGGATTTAAAAACCTGAAAATAACCTATCTCTGAAAAATAGGTAGGAAAACATAATTTTATGCAGGATTTAAAAAGAAATATATTAAATGAAATCAAGTACATTTATTTGCTTTTCTATGTTTTAGGGAGGTTCAGGTTGTGTAGACAATACCACTACCTAATTGGATGGTATATTCTTGGTAAATGTAGTCACAGTTGCTTGTTAATCTAAGTCATTGTGTAATCTGGTTGACTAATATAGCTTGTCTTTGCAACCTAATTCTTTTGAGTGTAGTTTTGCTTTTTTGTTATCATTTAGCTGCTACTTTTTAGTGGATGCTTAAGTACTTTTAATATAGCCATGACTTTGATAAAACATTTTTAAAAAGTGGAATGTTATGTTTATATTTTATAGAAAATGGCTCTCTCTACATAATAATGGATTATTGTGAAGGAGGAGATCTGTTTAAACGAATAAATGCTCAGAAAGGCATTTTATTTCAAGAGGATCAAGTAAGTTATGTAGGAGATAGACTTCTACTTATTAATGTTATTAAGAAGTAGTTAAAAATGAAACTCATTGCAAGCTTATGTATATATTTATTTTTAACTGCAAATGCTAGTTGTAATTACAAGGGCATATCAACAACATCACTATCTTAACTGATATTTTATTAGTCATATTTCTGTTCTCATTCACTTCTGCTTTCAGCTTCCTGTCTTATTTTCAGAGTAGTAATTTTGTTATGTTTTTAATATACTTTATGTCTTTGTTGTGTAAGGAGCTCTTGTAGCACAGTAGTTAAAATCTTGGGTGCTAGTCCAAAGGTTAGTGGTTCGAACCCACCAGCTGTTCTCTGGGAGAAGAAGTGGCAGTCTGCTTCTGTACAGCTTTTATCGCTTTGGAAACAACATAGGGTAGTTCTTCTTTGTCCTGTACGGTTGCTGTGAGTCAGAATCAGCTGGAAGATAATGGGTTACAAACGAGTTTTATATGTTGTGTATGTTTATATCTATACCCAAATTACTGCCTTACACTGGTAAATCTATATGTTGTCAATCTGATTTACTGCTAATAGACCATGTCTGCCTAAAAATGTGCCTACCAGTTAACTCCAACTCTAAAAGTCTTGCATTGGTAACTGCCTTAAATTGAATCATCTCTGTTTGATTTCCAGAGATCCTAAATAACCTTACTTTTTTCAGTTATTCCATTCCCTAAAACACACCATGTTTTTTTCATTTATGTAGTGGATATTTACTGAGCATATACTTTGTGTTAGGTGCTGGGCCACTCATTTCATTAGAATAGCTCATTATTTTTTTGTACACTTACTACTGTTTATATTTTGATAATGTGTTCTCCCAACTCTACTATAAATTGTTGTTGTTGTTAAGTGCTGTTGAGTCGATTGCGACCCATAGGGACCCTGTATAGGGTTTCCAAGGAGCAGCTGGTGAGCTTGAACCACTCACTGACCTTGCAGTTCAAACAACTTTGCAATCTGACGCATTAGCCCACAATGCCACACCAGGACTCCCTTCTATAAATAGCCTACCTTTATTTTAAAAATAAAAAAGTTTTAAGACTCAGCCTTTTAAAAAAATTTCTATAACTGTTCCAGTATTCCAGATATTTTCTTCTCCAAAATACTATTTTATTTGCTGTAGGGTAAGTACTCCACTGTAAGGTTGGTATGACCCACAAGGTCGGTGGTTCAAAATCACCAGCTGCTTCTTGGAAACCCTATACAGGGGTCGCTATGAGTTGGATCTGATTCAGTGGCATTTAGCAACAACAGCAATCACTCCTTCTTCATTTTAACAGCATACTTTTGTAGAGAAGTGAGTTGGTGGGGGTACTGTGCTAGGTGTGTTAGATTTGTTTTCTCCTTTAATTTTTATAATCCAGTTAAGTAGTATGTTGTTGTTGTTGTTAATTGCCATCGAGTTGGTTCCAACCCATAGTAACCCTGTATAGGGTTTCCAAGGAGCAGCTGGTGAGCTTGAACCACCAACCTTGCAGTTCAAACAGCTTTGCAGTCTGGCACATTAACCCACAGTGCCACACCAGGACTCCAATTAAGTAGTATACTTTCTCTTATTTAACAGATAAAGAATTCATAAGAGGCATTCAAAAAGTTTGTGGAAAAGATAGTAAAAAATTTCCATGAATTTTTAGAAGCCCTCTCATGTAAGAGCTTAAGTAACTTGCCCCGTATTACAATATTTGAACCTAGTTTTGTCTGATTACAAAGTTTGTAAATTTTTGGTTTTGCAAATTTAATATAAAAAGTTCAGAAATGAAAATAACTCCCCATCAGCCCATCTTATATTGCAACTGTTTTAGTTGGTGTATTCTTCTAGAATTTGTTTCACACACTTTCACATGTACACATATAAAATTTACACACATGCATTATAAATAGTATGGCACTGTGGGTTAATGCACCAGACTGCAAAGCCATTTGAACTACAAGGTAGGTGTTTCAAGCTCACCAGCTGCTCCTCAGAAACCCTATACAGTGTCGTTATGGGTCGGAATCGACTCGATAGCACTTAACAACAACAACATTAGAAATGGTATATTGATGCATATCATGCTGTATCTTGCTTGTCTCACTTAAAAATATATCTTTACCTTCTTTACATTGTCAGTCCACATAGATTAATTATATTGGGGTTTTTGTTCCCCAACAATTTTAGTTTTAATAGCTACATGACATTCTAAAACCCAGAATCAAGAGTGTTGCTGTTATGTCGATTCTGATTCATAGTAGTCCTTCAGGGCACAGTAGAACTGCCTCATAGAGTTTCCAAGGCACGTCTTTACAGAAGCAGACTGCCACAGTTTTCTCCCACAGAGCAACTGGTGCCTTTAGCCACCAGCCTTTCAGTTGGCAGCCAAGGACTTTAGCACTGCAGCACAGGGCTCCTTGCATTATTCTGTTTCAGCAAAACCTGTATGTTCTCATTTCTTTTTCCGTGGTATCTTCATACCTCATTTCTCATTTCCTTCCTTCCATAGCAACCATACCAGTATGTTAAATGAATATGCATATGCATTTTTGCAAAATGGCTGTCATTGTTTGCATACTTTTAAATGTTCACATGTTGTGCTGTATTCATTTTACGTTTTCCTTAAATACTGTTTCCTGATCCATATGTTTTACTTTATATATATATATATTATATATATATAAACAGATAAAGAATTCATAAGGGGCATTCAAAAAGTTTGTGGAAAAGATTTTATATATATATAAGTTATATATAAAATCTTATATAAATTATATATAAAAAATATGTATTGCTTCTAACTGCTACATGATGCTCCATAGTTAACAAACCTACACTTGTTTTTTGCTGAAACATGTATCTATCTTAATTGTTCCTGATATTTTCACAGTAGATTTGTTTCTCCAACTAGATTATAATAGAAGAGAAAGTGTTTAAGCATGCCTTCTTAGACTTTCAGTAAAAGCTGAGTCTATGAGACGCACCATGTTGTCACACTTAGCATTAGCTGATGCAACTATAAAGACAGTAAATTTTATGTTCTTAGCAGCAACTTGAAAATATGGTAAAGTGAGATATTAAATTATATTTTAAGTATTCCCTAGTATAAAATTAGGAGTCCTGGTGTGGTGCTGTAGGATAAACACTGGACTACAAGGTTGGTATGAATCACAAGGTCAGTGGTTCAAACCCACCAGCCAGCCATTCCTTGGAAATTCTTTACAGGTTGTTATGAGTTGCAGTCAACTCTTTGGCACTTAACAGCCACAACAAAGTGTAAAATTACAGAGCCATTGGACGGCTAACTGCAAGGTCAGTGGTTTGAATTTCCCAGCTGCTCCACAGGAGATAAGATGATACTTTTTGCTTCTGTAAAGATTTACAGCCTTGGAAACCCTGTACAGGATTGCTGAGAGGCGGTACCGACTTGACAGCACATCACCACCACAACTAGTGTAATACTGTATTTATAAAATGTTATTTACCTCCTATTTCCACAGTTAACTGCAATATGAAGCGTGCAGAACTTGGAGTAAGAGGAGTTGGACTGATCCTTGTTCTGCTATTTATGAGAATAGTGATTATTAACAAGTTACTTAACTGTTCTGATATGATTTTTGTTTTTAATAGGGATGTACCTACCATATGGCCTACTTCATGTTTGTAGTGGAGGTCAAATAATAATGTATTAGTCTATAAAGTGCTGTGTTTTTTTTTTAGCACTTTATTATTGCTTGTGCTATTTTCACTGCATTTGCTATTAAATGCTTTGACCTTCCACGATAAAGTACATTGGTACTGGTTCTACTATAGGACAAAATGGATTCCTGGTGTGGTTTTGTTGGATAATCCTCTGGACTGCAAGGTCGATTTGAACCCCAAGGTTGGAGGTTCAAATTCACCAGCCGTTCTTCAGAAACCCTCTACAGGGTCTCTATAAGTCAGAACTGACTAGATGGCACTTAACAAAAACAAATAAAGCAAAATATTTTACTATGTAATGATACATATGTGTGCATGTATGTGTATGTATCTTGTCATTCTAGAAATTAAGAGATCTTACATAATTTTTTCCATCTCTGAGATTATCATAGTATTTGGTCTTTTCCTACTGTTTTAAATAACAAAGTTTTATTAGCCTAAATAAGGATATTATTTCAATCTACTTGAAATGAAACAAGGCCATTCAAAGAAAAACATCCTACTTACTCCTTGGATCTACGAGTTACTAAGGAACTTGACCAAGTCTGTGACTTTCAGGCAGTAGTAAACAGTGAGATGAACTGGTTGCATTCCCCTAGACCCTCGAATGGCCTTTGTTCTCATTTGATATTGAAAAGATCATCTACGGAGTATTTTTACTTTATTCCCTAGGTTAGGAGTTAGGTTCAAATTGAGCCTTTTTACTTACAAATGACCAACTCCAGAGTTATGATTAATACACAAGGAGAAAAAAAGGCAGAGATGCATTTAAAATTTCTAGCCTAATTTTTTCTCTTGAGATTTCTATATTTGTTTTTAACAAATTATAGAAAATATATGGTCAAGAAGACAAAAATCCTCACCACTGGACCAATAAACAACATTCTTATCAGTGGATAAAAGATTGAAGTTGTTAAGGACTTCATTCTTTTTGGATCAATTATCAACACTCGCGGAAGCAGCAGTCAAGAGATCAGACGACATATTGCTTTGGGCAAATCTGCTGCACAGGAACTTTTTGAAGTATTGAAGAGCAGAGATGTCAGCTTGAGGATTAAGGTGTGTCTGACCCAAGCCATGGTATTTTCAATAACCTCATATGGATGTGAAAGCTGGACAGTGAATAAGGAGATCATAGAAGAATTGATGCCTTTGAGTTGTGGTGTTGGAGGAGAATACTGGAAGTGCCATGGACTGCCAAAAGAACCAATAGATCTGTTTTGGAAGAAGTGCAGCCAGAGTGCTCCTTGGAGGCCAGGATGGCTAAGCTTCGTCTCTCATACTTTGGACACATTGTCCGGAGGGAACAGTCGCTGGAGAAGGATGTCATGCTGGGTAAGGTGGAGGGTCAGAGAAAAAGAGGAAGACCCCCAACGAGATGGATCAGCCAGGTGACATCATTGATGGACTCAAGTGTGGCAGTGGTAGTGAGGTTGACCCAGGATCGGACATTGTTTCGTTCTGCTGTGCGTGGGGTCGCTATGAGTCGGTTCCGACTCGATGGCACCTGACAACAACAATATACGTAAAATTACGTGTCACCAGCAGTCATACTACTAAATGGTCATAGTACTAAATATAAATTCTTTGTTTTCTATTTTTTAAGTTTCTTTCTGTAATTATTCTGATTTTTTAAGTGATGCTTCACTAACAGTGTCTTATAACGGTGTCTTATATTTAGAGTTAGAGTTTGCACTGCACATATAAAGTGACATTTGGCTTAAAAGACTAATGTTTTTGTTGTTATTAAGTGCCGTTGTGTTGGTTGTGTTGGTTTCGACTCATAGCGACCCTGTGTAGAGTTTCTGAGGAGAAGCTGATAAGTTTGAGCCACCGACCTTGTGGTTCAAACCAACCTTGCTGTCAAGTGCTACAAGCACCACACCAGGACTCCATTTAATGTTCACCGCTTCCCCCTCCCCTCCCAAATCAACAAAAACTCTTGCTGTCAAGTTGGTCCCAAATCTGTGATCTTATAGCATAGAGTAGAACTGTCTGTTAAGGTTATTCTTTATGGAAGCAGACTGCTACATCTTTATCCTGTGGAACAGCTCGTGGGTTTGAACTTCTGACCCTTTGCTTAGAAGCTGAGCACTTAGCCACAGTGCCACCAGGACTCTGTCTATTTTATGTTAATGGCTGTAAATGAAACATAAATTTTGACCTAAACATGTTTTAAAGCATATGTTGTTAGTGCCATTGAGTTAGTTCTGACTCATAACCACCCTGTATAGAGTTTCTGAGGAGTAGCTGGTGGGTTTGAACTGCTGCACTTATGGTTCGCAGCCCATTGCTGATTCTACAGCGCCACACCAGAAGTTCTTTAAAGCACTTACCTCCCCTCAAACCCAAATATTTATGAATGATTTAATGGTCAAGGAAGGACTACTTTGCTACGAATGTAAATTTTAAAGGAAATGACAACTCTGATTTCCCCCCTCTAGATTTTGGACTGGTTTGTACAGATATGTTTGGCCCTGAAACATGTACATGATAGGAAAATTCTTCATCGAGACATAAAATCACAGGTATACTTATTTTATTACTAATAACTTCTAAATAGGTAGGGACATGGGGTCTGCACTGTCTTGAGCCACAAAAGTCTTTTGTTCTTTATTTCCCCCATTTCATTACAATCGTAGAAATCATCTGTGTCTCTGTATCCTATGTTAGGTCTTCTGTTTTCTTCTCATATCTTTCTCTTTCTTGATTTATTGCTCCCTTATGATGAAAAGGTTGAAATGAAAAATGTATGTATTTAATACACTCCAAGATTTTGAGGTTTTGAGATTTTACTTGTCTGAAGATGTCTTTATTCCATTTATTCACTTTAATGGTAATTTGCATATAATCGTCTAGGTTAGGCATTTTTTAAAATTTACAGAATTTAAAAATTGTTGTTTATTTGTCTTCTGGCTTCTGATACTGCTGTTTTAGAAATTGGCAACCATTATAACATCCTTTTTTCCAGTATTGTGACTTGGTGAAATTCAGTTATCTTTCATTATACTGTTCTTTTGATCTGGAAATGTATGTGTCCTTATTTATGGAAAATGTTCAGCTATATCTTTTCAAATATTGCTTCTTTGTCTCAACCTTGGTCTTTTTCTGGATTGACTTTTAGACTTGTTGGAACTTCTTGATCTATCCCTTCAAGTATCTCATTTGTTCTTCCATACTTTATTTTTTTGTCTCTGTTGCATTTTACATGAATTCCTCAACTTGCCTTTTATACTAAATCCCTGTTCAATTTTGTGTAAATTCATATTTTATTCCACCTAATTTTTTTTATTGTAATGAATGTTTTTTCTCTTCACAATTTCCAGTTATTTTTTTCCCTCCATATTTCTTTTTTTTTTTTTTTTAAATACTAGTTTTCTGGTTTAGTGACTAGTCATTTCATTTTTAAAATGTTTTTGCAGATCATCAGTTTTACATTCAGCAAATCATACACTTTATTTCATTTACAATGATTATAATCCCTTCCATGTAACAGTATTTCTCTCTATTCACTTTAGCTTTTTTTTTTTTTTATAAAACAAAAAAATACTCAGGCATATATAATAATTTATGCCTCTAAAGGGTTCTGCAAGTCTGTCTCCTGGACACCAGCTCTCAGTCCCTCTCTTTCCTTGAGTCTAGAGTCCTCAGCTGCTCCCTCGCTCCATGTCCCCATCTCTGCCTCCATCTCTGGCGTCACTGGTTCTCTGGATAGGTTCCCGCATTCTGCTTGTGCTCTTCTCCTTTGATGGTCCTAGGGTCCTCTGTTTCTGGACTGTAAGATAACCACTTCCCTGTTTCTGTTACAAAACTTCTACCTTTACAATTGTGACATTTGCAATTAGTCATAACAGTTATTCACTATTGAATCATAGGAATCTTATCCCCATCTCTTTTCACCAGACTCCATGTTTCTTATTTCTTATTTATGCATGTTTTTTGTTTAATGATTTCTTTTTTTAAAAAGAGGATATTCCTTCCCTTTATCTCTTTTGTAATTTTGTAACCATATGTATTTTAATTTTTCTTGGATTTAAAAAAAATTAATTTTATCTTCAGTGTATTCTTGTTCAGATTTGTTGATTTTATTGGCTGTTTTTGTTCAAATTAAATGTCTTCATGTATATTAGATTTTTTTTTTTTTTTAAACAAGCTCTTTTTGTGTGAGATGTTTTGTTTGTGGTTCACCCAGCTTTGCAGAAGTTTTATGGTTGCCTCTCGTGGATCCTCTCAGTTCCTAGGGTGTCAAGGCTTCGTGTATGCTTACGTATTTTCTTAGGTTTGCAAGTTCCTATAAAGCCATGACTCTAGGATGAAGAATGGGAATGAAAAAGACTATTTGGTAACTCCCAAACCCTAACTTTTGTACCTCTATTTCATTGCATCTTCCTCCATCTTAGTCAACTCCACTTTTTGTATTTTTGGCATTAAGCATGTCTCTGACGTAATACTCCTCAGTGATACTGAGTTTAGTTTTTGTTACTCCACATATTACTGGCTCCTATTGTTCTATAAAGCACTGAAGTTCTCTATTTATGAATGCAGAATATTTGAATAAATTTTTGGAAAATTTAAGGTTAATTTATTACATTTAAACTAGTTAGAAATGTATGTAGTTTGATTTTGGAGGAAGGAGATCTAATTTTATATTTTAAAAAGCTATATACAGATATATTTCACATGCTATAAAATTCACTTATTTAAAATATACATTTTGGTGATTTTTAATATATTAATAAGAGTTTTGAAAGCACCACAGCTTTTTAATTCCAGAGCATTTTCATGATTCTATGAAGAAACCTTGTGTCCAATAAGCAGTCACCCCCATTTTCTCCTCCTCTAGACCTTGGCACCCTCTTTTCTACTTTCTGTCTCGGTGGATTTGCATTGCTGTTGTTGTTTTTAGGTGCTGTCAAGTTGGTACTGACTCATAGCAACCCTTTGTACAACAGAATGAAACACTGCGTGGTCCTGTACCATCCTTACAATTGCTACTACACTAGAGCCCATTGCTGCTGCCACTGTGCCAATCCATCTCCTTGGAGGTCTCCTTGTTTTTCCCTGATTCTGCACTTTACCTAGCATGATGTTGTTTTCCAGTGACTAGTCTCTCTAGATAATATATCCAGAGTATGAGAGATGAATCCTCAATCCTGGCCATCTTGGTTGTACTCCTCCAATACGGATTTGGTTATTCTTCCAGCAGTCTGTGGTATCTTTAATATTCTCCAACACCATTAATTCAAAAGCATCAATTCTTATACTGTCTTCCTTATTCACTGTCCAACTTTCACATGTATATGAGACTATTGAAAATACCATGGCCTGGGTCAGGCACACCTTAGTCCTCAGACTGACATCTTTGCTTTTGAACACTTTAAAGAAGTCTTGTGCAGCAGATTTGTCTAATTCAATTCATTGTTTGATTTCTTGGCTGCTGGTTCCATGAGAGTTGATGGTGGATCCAATCAAAATGAAGTTTTTGACAACTTCAATCAATCTTTTTCTATTTATCATGATGTTATTTACGAGTCCAGTGGTGAGGAGTTTTCTTTTCTTTACATTAAGGTGCAGTCCTTACCGAATGCTATAAGAAATGGAATCATACAAAATATGCCTTTGTCCATTTTTAATTTGGATTATTTGTCTTTCTTATTGTTAAGTTGTGAGTTCCTTATCAATTCTAAATATTTTTAGATATGTAATTTGTACATATTTTCTTCTCCCATTCAGTTTTTTTTTTTTCACTTTCTTGATGATGTCCTTGATATAAAAACCTTCTTTATTTTAATGAAGTCCAGTTGTTTTCTTTTGTTACTTATGCTTTTAGTGATACATTTAAGAACCATTGCCTAACGTAAGGTCATAAAGATTTACTCTTATGCTTTTTTCCATAAGTTTTATAGTTTTGGTTCTTACATTGAGGTATGATCTATTTTGAGTTAATTTTTATAGATGGTAAAAATTAGGTGTTTAAATTCATTATTTGAATGTGAATATCTTTTAAACTGGATTCATTTTCATGAAAAAAGTTGTTGACTCAAAACTGGACTGTATTTATTTCTGTTTTACAGAACATATTTTTAACCAAAGATGGAACAGTACAACTTGGGGATTTTGGAATTGCCAGAGTTCTTAACAGGTAATATATACGTTATAAACTTTGCGTACTTGCAATGACTTTAGTTAAATTTTGACACATAACGATGTATATCTTCTAATATCTCTTCAATATCTGAAGCTTTTATAATAATTTTCTTTTTGTTCTAGTACTGTAGAGCTGGCTCGCACTTGCATAGGGACCCCATACTACTTGTCACCTGAAATTTGTGAAAATAAACCTTACAATAATAAAAGGTATTTAAAATGATATCCATTATATAACGTATGTGCCTTTAAATATTTCTCTATTATACTTAAATGAAACTTCATAATAGTATTTTAGTATCAACAATATATACATGTACATTGACTGGCTATGTGCTATTGAGTCAGTTCCAAATTATAGTGACCCTGTATTGTTTCCAAGACTATAAGTCTTTATAGGTGCAGAAAATCTCATCTTTAGCCCTTGGAGTGCCTAGTAGACTCGAACTGTTGACTTTGCAGTTAGCCCACTATGCTACCAAGTCTCCTTATACATGTACATTATTGTATATAAATAGATTTGTAAATGTGCTTTATAAATACTGTATATAATGTTTATATATGTGAGTCCTGATGTGGCACTATAGGATAAAGCACTAGACTGCAAGGTCTGTGTGAACCATAAGGTCAGTGGCTCAAACTCACCAACTGCTCCTTGGAAACTCTATACAAGGCTGCTGTGACGTCACTCAACAACAACAGCAATTATTTGTGTAAATGTATATATGCACTTATAAATATATATGAGATGGATTCAAAAAGTTCATGGGAAATTCCATTATCTTTTAATAACATTTGTTCCACAAACTTTTTGAATCCCATTCATATGTATGTATATATTTAGTGAATTATGAGAAAAATTACAAAGAAGCTGTTTCAGTATTTTGTTTAAAGTGTTGCAGAAAAAAATATGTTTTTATTTAAATCATAATTGGAAAATAAAGTACTTTCTTTAAGTTTTCTTTTTTTGTATTAGTCACTTTTTAGTGATAAACTAATATTTACTATTCCATACAAGGTTTTAAAAAAATTTTTTTTAAAGCTTTTATTGTGAATTAAGTAAGAGTTTACAGGACAGATCGTCAGTTTTGCACTCAACCAGCTGTATCTTGTTTCATTGCAATGATTACAATCCCCTCCATGCACCACCAGTTAACAGTATTTACAACTCTAGTCCCTCTTTTTTTTTTGATGTACACAAAACACAGAAAATATATATTCATTTAAACAACCAAAGGACACATTTTTACAAGCCAGCCTCCTGGCCACAAGCACACAGCCTTTCTCATTCCATGGATCTAGAGTCCTCAGCTGCTCTCCATGTCATCACCTCTGCCTCCATCTCTGTGGTTGCTGCTTCTCTAGTTAGGATCGATCCCATACTCTGCTCATGTTCTTCCCTCTTGATGGTCCTAGGGTCCTCTGTTCCTGAAATGAAAGATTAACTACTCCCCTTCTATCTCTACAGTTGTGACCATTGCAATTATTCATGACAACAGTTACTCACTTTTGAATCAAAAAAATTCTATCCCCATCCTCCTCCTTTTACCAGATCCATCTATACAAGAGGCCAACTGTTCAATATGGATTCTCCTTTACTCCTCTCATTCTGAAACTAAGCATACTCTTGAAAACTTATAAGCCAGCTACTTTGTTCCTTTATAGCCCCCCATTTTAGATAGCCATTATGTAAGTGAATATGCTTGATTCTTGATGTGAAGACTCCTTCCCTCTTGGTTGGAGTTTTTAGCAACTACATCTATAAGCATAGGGCAAGTTCATCAAATTGTAGCAATTTACACCAGCTTCCTGTATCAAACTTCTTTATCTTCCTCTAGTCAAGTTCTGATCAGCAAGCCATCTAAGCTAGGTC